ATTTTTTGCAGACTGTAAGAGCAATTTTATAAAAGTAAGATTGAACTTTCGATTATGTCAAATAGAATTTCCGATGCTGGAGCTCCCAAAGGATCTAGGAAACGAAAGTATGATTCGATGTCCATCAAACAAAAAACGAATTGCTACAAAAAATGGATAAAGGTATATCCTTTGTTTATCTAACCGTTCCGAAATCTGTTTATCAATTTCACACTGCTCTGCGCGGGGGGGGGACGTCGCGGCGTGCAATGAACTGGAAGTTGATCTGTCACCACTATCGTTATCTTCAGGCCAGATGTTTTTTTTTATTCGGCTTATAATTCCTTACTAAATGTAGTATTTAATCTCGATGTACTCCGTCTTTGATATGATTTAAATCAAATTCCTCGTCATTATAAATATCACGAATGTAAATCAAATAGTTTTCTGGTTGCAATTTTCTAATTTCGGCTATGCGTAAGGTACGCATGCGCGCGTTGAAAGAAATGTTTAATGAAGTAAACAAATAAATATTAAGCTTCTTTTTTTGTAAATTTTGATACCCTTTAGATCATAATTGCTGATTATTTTATAAATTACGGTTTCATGTTTTTAATTTTATAATTTCTGCATGCCATCTTACCAGATTTAAACTGATGATCTATAATCCGGAATCGCCGAAGTCCCGACGAGTCCGGATTAAAGACTTTTGACTGTACAGCCTTGGTACGATTTTGAAAATTGTTGCCAACACCAAAATGACCCGTTTACTACTCATCATTAATGCCTTGTTAACTGCTCATCATAAAGTCACCAAAAAAAGCCAAGTACCATGTGTACCGTATGCCAGGATTAAACCAAAGATGTAATGGCTTTTCCTTCTTTTTTGGTAAAAAGAGGTTTTCTTGAAAAATGCATCATTTGTAAATGAGGGAAGAACTACTATTTTTGTGTGAGAAACTTTTACTAAGGTTTGGTGAGAACTTTTTGTATTAGGAATGGCTAGATATTTATTCTTTAAATAGTGAAGTAAATAATAACTTGAAAGTAGGCCAAATGTATTATTAAACAGTATAATAATAATGAAAGTAGTGTTGATGTATTTGTGGGAATGTAATTAATTCTTTGCAAATGATGAAATTTTATTTAATGTCAACTAGCCAGAGAATATTAAAAAAGTTTCTTTTCTTATCAGGAAATCTAGATTAACTAAAATAAAAAATTTCACCATTTCTGATATTTTTAAGAAAATAGGAAATGAACTAATTTGTATATGTGTTCAGTTTTAGTTTATAACTACATGACTTTTGTGTTTATTCTTTGAGCTGTGCTCACTGAAATTCATTCATTTCCAAAGGCAAATAGCTTGACAAAATAGCACTGAAGGAATAGACCAGAACTAAATAGCCTTTATCTGAAATATTCCTACAAAACATCCAGAATTCAAATTCTTAATATTTATTAGAAAACATATTTTAAGAAATGTATGTACTATATATTTGGTCTACCGGAAAGTTCTGTCCTTTTTTAGACTAAAACAAAATGCAAATTTATCTTACCATCAATAAACTTTATTAGATAATATAATTGCCAGTATTATTAATGATAAATTGAGGCATGATCAGCATGAGGGCAATTTGTATATCGCATTTTTGAAAAATTTTGTAACTTCTGATAACTAAAAATTGAGCCAGTGCTTGTTTGATATCTTTGAATTTTTTGTCCTTCAAAAAATTTTGTAAGGACAAAAACAAGTGATAGGCTGAGGGTGCTAAGTCTAGGGAATATGATGGATGTGACAGAATTTTCCAGCCTAGTTTTCCAATTTTTTTTTGAGTCCCCAAAGCAGCATGTGGTCTGGCATTATCATGATGCAGTATGAAGTCCTTCGTATTGAACATCACTGGCCTCTTTTCTTGGACTGCTGTTTTTAAATTGTCCAGTTGCTGACAATACTTCTCCGAACTGTGCTTTTTGTTCGATTTTAAAAGCTCATAATATATAGGTCCTCAAATGTCCCACCATGTATACATAACATTCTCTTATTCTGAGTCAGATTTGGTTTAAAGGTGGAAGGGCTAGGTTTTCCAGGTTCACAATATGCCCTTTTCCTTGTGATGTGTCCGTAGGTAATCCACTTTTCATTCCCAGTTATCATCTGGTTCAAGAAGGGCTTGATTTTGTTCTGAGCAAGCAGAGATGTGCATATGACAACTCGATCATCCAAATTCTTCTGGCTTAATTTATGTGATCTTGAATATTTCCACACCAATCCTATCTTCTGAATATGATCCAAAATGGTTTTCTGTGCTGATTTAAGCCTTTCTGCAATCTCCAATGTTATCAGAAAAGGATCTTGCTCAGACATGGTCGTAACAATATTGTCGTTGATCAAAGATGGCCGCCCAGAATATGGCATATCAGAAAGTTCGAAATCACTTGTTTCACATTTTTTGAACCATCTACTGCATATCCTATCAGAAACTGTACCTTCACCAAACGCTTTCAATGAGTTTTTACATGCCTCTGTAACATTTCTTCCTCGTTGAAATTCCTATAAAATACAGCGGTGTAAATGAACATTATTAGCAGCCATGAGTACACTATCACTTCACACTTAAGACTAACATGAATCAACTTTGTTTTGGTTAATTTGCTATGTCAATAAGTATACATTAAGCAATAAAAATAGAGAGCCGAACATGCGGCAAATATACATGTGCTTACGTGTTGAAAATTGCTGTCATAAAACGGACAGAACTTTCCGGTAGACCAAATATGTTAAATATATCAATTTACAAAACTTATATTTCAAGATTATGTGAAATGCCACAAAAAAAGTCCATATGTTTCATGTTTGTATAATTTTCCCCTAATGCATGTGAAAAATTAGGCATCAGTTAAGTTATGCATATTTAATTTTTCTTGAATCTGGGTTTCAGATACCTGCAACAAGGTGTGTTTTGCAAATATCCATCATATCCTTCTTTTTCCAGAAATGGGCGGTGAGTTTATAGACTAAATGCATGATGGCAGTCGACTCTTTGCTGGAATGCCCTATGCCATCCTTTGTCCTCGGAAAACCATTGATGAGACTGGCTGCAACAATTTTATAATACCTAGGATAGAACCATTTTGGCTTAGTGCATTTAATAGTAGTTGTTTATTCTTTTATAATACCTGGCATTAATCTATCGTATATCAATCCCAAGATACTTATTTAAACATCTATTATAAATCTATAGATAAGATTTATCTATAGATGGTATTTTAGCTGTGTATTTTTATATTACTAGAAATGGTACCAATATTTTTTTAATTGATGATTTTTCAGACTGATCAATTTGACTGTTGAAATATACCAGGTGAATAATGCATAGGTTAAAATTTTTTAATTGAAAAAGTTGTTTAAAAACTGGTTTCAGGAAAACTGGTTAAACTGGTTATGCACTGGTCTGCACATCACTTAATTTGATATGTAACCTAAAGCTATAAAAATTTTGGTAGTTTTTTTGCCAGGTCATATTTATGCATTTGTAACACAATGAGTAATTTAAAGGAGCCCAGTGACTTTGACCTTGGCAGTATAGTGGGATGCCACCTTTGCGGGAAATCACTTCATGAAATTTCAGACATTCTACAGAATCCAAAATCCACTGTGAGTGATGAAATTGTGAAGTGGAAACATCAGGGCAGTGAAACTGCATAACAATGAAATGGGAGGCCAAAAAAGAACAGCTGTAGAACTCTATGAAGCAAAATCATGAATGAAAGAAATGAAACAAAATCTCAAGTCCTCGTTGGTTGAAATCACTCAGAGTTCCAATGTTCAGGCATAAGTGTTAGCAGCAGGACTGTTTGCCAAGACTTAAAAAAAACCTGGGATTCCATGGTCATGCAGCCACTCACAAGCTGAATGTCACCCCTCAGAATGTGAAGCTTTGATTGCAGTGGTTCAAAGCTCACTGTACACATTTAAAAAAATGTTCTTTGGAGTGGTGAATCCCACTTTACATTCTGACAGTCTTATGGATGCATCTGGGTTTCGCGGATGCCTGGCGAGCACTTCTTACGTGACTTCATTGTGCCGATTGTAATGTTTGGTGGTGGCAGCATCATGATGTGGGATTGTTTTTCACAGTTTGGTCTGGGTCCCTTAGTTCCTGTGGTTGGAAACATGAACTCTGAGATGTATGTGGACATTCTGAAAAATGCTGCAGTCCCGACTATGACATTACGTCAGAGAAGGCCCAATTCTCTTCCAGCAGGATCGAGACTTGTGCACATAGCCAGCCAAATCAACTGTTCCTACTGACAGCTTTGCCTCACTGCAAGCCATAAGAAGTCATTTCCTATGGCCCACCTATCAGAAACTGGTGGAAAGGCTTCCCAGACATGTGCAGGCTGTCATCGATGCAAAAGGAAAACTAATTGTGGTTGTTTTACAAATGAGCAAATGAAAACAACTTGATTAAAAAAAGGAACACTTATATTCAATGGAATTTGCTTTTTGAATGTCAGTTCTTTACAAATATGTCTTCTCTCTTAAAGTACGGGTTTTACATCAAATCCCATTTCACTATTCAGTATTGTCTTGTAATTTTAAAATAACTAATCATATTTCTAAAATTTCTTGACTGTATTTAACTTGTAGAATGTGTAGTTATTTTGTCTGAATTTTATTTTTTATATGAATAATATATAGTTTATTTATTATTGATCTTGGTGTATATTTATAAATGCTTACAATATGGGTAATTTTAAAATTGTGCTGCTGCCTTTTACTACTTAGTGGATTTTCTAAAAGTGTATTCATCAAGAATCTATGCATTAGATAGTTGGCCTAAACTTAAACAGAACATAAGTTATAAATAAAATTATTAGTTATTTTTTAGTGTGACTTTATTCCCTCTTGCTTCTTCTATTTTGCTTCTTGTATTTTGTTTGATTTTAGGCCAATATTTGTAAGTTTCATTAAGCTGTTATGTATTATGTGAATAAAAATATTTCTTATTTTTTAGGTAAATGGTAAAAATTTTGAATCCTGGGTAATGGGTCAGGTTTTAAAAAAAATTAAAGAATATGAAAACAACATTCATGGAGAAAACTGCTGTGTTGGTAGGTATCATTTTTTAAGTGTTTACTTTTTTACCTATATTAATTGCAGTAATTTGTTATTTTTAGAACTGTTATGTACATATTGTGTTTAAAATTATGTTACGCAGGGGTGGCATCTTAGCACATGCCTATAAATTTGAGTAGGAAAAAAAGAATTCTTATTAATTACTTGTAATCTGAAGTTATGCACTGAATCATTGATTTTAAAAAGAGAAATTCAAACTGAAACAAGTTGCATGATGTCACATTCTCTTTCTTTCTGCTTATTCCTTGCAATTAGGGAAGAGGGAATGCTGTCGATGCATCACATGTTGACAAACTATTTTATGTGAGCAAAGGGGATTTCTACCTTCGCTTTGTTCTCAGCCACAATCAAAGAGCGTCGGCATATTTTTAAAATATGTACAATATACGCCAGGGTTGCCACACAAGCTGAAAAACCTGGAAAAGTCAGGGAATTTAAATATTTTAGTCAAAATCTCGAAAAGTCAGGAAATTACTTATGGTGATCCCCCCCCCAAAAGCAATTTTGGCACCAATGTTGGAAGCCATCACTTTCTTGTTGAATTATGTACCATGTGAATGTCATTCAAGCAACTGGCATTGAGCCAATTTTTGCAGCTACAATCAGGTTGTCTTTTAGAAAGGCAAAGCAAGTTTCCAACAAGTTTTGTTTCCAGTAATAACCTCAAGAATCAAAAGAACTCGCATGTGCAGTGCATGTTCAATGAAACAAAATACCTTCCCATTCTCATGTAAAACAACATCGATTTAATCCTAGTATACAGTACTCACAAGATTTTGCAACATTATAATGAATAGTAAACAGGGCATTTATGATGAGCAGTAAACGGGCTATTTTGGTTTTGGCGACAACTTTCAAAATTGTGCCATGGCTGAACTGTATGCTAGAATTTTACCATACAGTCTTTTAAACCTTTTTTTCCCCTTTTTAATAAGTTGTCATTTTGCAGTAAAATCATCTAATCTAACCACTTACTATTACTATATTCGCCAAAATATTGTTGATTATTGTAATTTAGTTTTTAATCTTTAAGTAATTATCTTTATTTTAATGTTATTCGTATCAATGTGGCATCTTCCTTCTAAATTTATTTATTATTAATTGATATTACTTTCAAATTTCAGGCAGTTTTCACTGACATAACCCTTGAAACTAATTTTATGAATATGATGACATACCATCATGAAATTTAATGCACATATTTTTTGCTTGTGTATGCTGCTAAATAAATATAAAACACTTGAATTTATTTTGAAATGTCATTAAATAGATTTCTTTCTTTCATTTAGCTGTCTTGGAGGGGGGGAAGAAATTTTTTAAGCCAGATTGGGCAGATTCTAATCTCAGTCTTCAGTGGAGGAAATAACTGCTATTATAATAGTAATGCTTTGGGGTATATATATATGTGTATGTGTATGTAATAGGTAAATTTTTGTTTTTTCGAGTGGTACCATAATTAATTTACTTCTCAGCACAATCAACATGCACTACGCGGATAGACTGAGATTTTTTTAAAAATACACCTGGAAAAGTCAGGGTTCCATTCTTCTGTTTCAGAAGAAACCCTGATTTTACCCCAGTTGTGCAGGCTGTTGCTTTACAGCACCGAAGAAAGAATATTCATTGTTCATTATTGCTTTTGCTTTATTAGATTATGGCAAAGCACTCGAGGGCTATCTGCCTTAAGGGAGGGATGCCTTCGTGGAGGACTTTTTAAGGGAAACTGGCTCGTATACACGTTACACATGAGAAAAACCACGAAAACACCCATGCAGCCAGCCCGTTTGCGGAATTCGAACTGTTCATTATTGAATTTAGTGCAATTTGTTATTATTTTTAATGGGGTAGAGGGAATTGTTCTGCTTCAAGCTTTATGTTATAAAATATGTTTAATTTAAGGCTGACTTATTTTTATATTCGAGCTTAAGTTCCATATGACTGTGTATTGAGATCTTTTCTAAAAATTTGAAGCATCATTAAAAAGAAAACGTGCATTTAAGGAACATGATTTAACAGATATTTATCTTTAATTATTGAGTGAAAACAATATTTAAAAATAATAGGCCTCGACTATCTTTTGTGGGCATATGCAGTAAATATAAAAATATGAACAGAAGGCATCTGCAAAGTACATAATGCAGAAAGTTAGCTATTCGAATAGTAATTTTATTAGTTATGATGTAAAGGTATTAGTAAAAAAGTAAAGGTATTGTGTTATGATGTAAAGGTCTTCTTGGGCAAAAGTGAGCCAACTACGTTCTCTTTATCCATTCATTGACAAAGATGGTCTCTTATGGGTGAAAGGACATCTTCAAAATTCATCTTTGGCATTTAATGTCAAACACCCTGCAATGCTTCCTTCTCACCATAAATTTAGTGAATTACTAGTGAAAGAACTTTATATTACTAACCTTCATGCTGGTCCTTCTTTATTATCCCACATCATCAGGTAGTCTTACTTGATAATTGGAGGGAAAAGTTATGATGTTAAAGCTTTTTCTTTTGATTGTTTCAGTTATTTTCATGGAGACAGAACTAGTGCTTAGACTAAGGGTGGGTATAGCAACTTCATTGTGTTAGTACCTATTTTAATGAATGAAAATTTTGCTGCTGTATTAAAACAAGTTTAGAACTTTTCACTCATGAACAATCTAAGAGATCTTAGTTTAAATCAGCAAAGGAAAAAAAAAAAAAAAAAAACCTGCAAAGTTTTATATAAGTGTAGTAATAAAAGTAATAAAATTTTAAATTGACTGATTGAATTTTTTTTTTTGAAACACAAAAGCTGTCACTTACAGACTTTATCAGTCTTCTGATAGCACAAACAGGTTATAGAAAATTGGCAAATTTATATGGTTTGGATAAAAAGTTATGGCAATACATTGATAATCCTGAAAAGACTTTATTACCATAGATACAAACACTGACAGTCCCTTGATATAATCACACTTGATATATATGTTACCTTCTACAAAATTATTGGAAAACATCCTACACGTACAGCACATTCATGCCATCTTAAAGTGCACATAACCTTCTCTCCAGTGTAAGGGATCCCTCGCAGTGGTTCTTTCATTTTGTTGAAAAGAGTTTAGTCACATGGACTCATATTGTAAATTATAATCTATGAAATGGCTCCATATTTCTGCAACACTTTAATTAACTATGTGTACTGTAACACATAGTTAATTATGGTGTTATTAACCATAATTAACTCATGTTATGTAACCATAACTTATGTTAACTTATGTTATTAATTATGCTAGTAATTAACTTAGTAATAGTAATTAACTTATGTTATGTAACCATAACATAAGTTAATGGTGGTACTATGCACATATGTAAAATATGTGCATAGTACCACCATTGCACATATTTTGTTGCACTATTTTTTAACATTTTCCCACTCATTCCAATACGTCCTAACTTCTTTAATAACTGAAATTTTTTTATAATAAGTTAAGGCTGCTACAGCTCTCTCTATGGGAGATCTCAACATACTTGCCATGCATGGCTGTTCAGAACATCAAATTATCTCTTATAAAATCAATGATTACAAATAATTACCTACAAGAAATGCAGAATATTAAACTTAAAACAATTAATTACATATGCTGACAAACAAAATATAATATGCAATAATAAGCGCTGCATTACTTATTAGTTAACATTATTCTTAGTAAATACATAACTTCTTCAATAAATAGTTCATACATTTAAATTAGTAATGCTAAGTTTTGAAAATGACATCAAAGAGATACAGACAATGAATTACATAAATCTAATAATGCAGTCCACATTAAAACTTGAAGTATTTAAAATGAATCTCATTGAATATCAGATTGTAGTTAATGTTCATAATTGTTCCCAATATTTAATTTTCACAGGTTACACTCACAATTTTCGAATAGAAGTTTTGGGTACATCATTTGTAGTTTTTAATTTCATAACAGTCTCTTTTAACAGTACCTGGGAAAACAGTATGGCCCAATTTCCATTTAAGGGTTCTAAGCTGTTGTCTGTAATTATTACTAGATAATTTATTTTAACATTTGTTGAAGCATGCTGCCACTTTAAGCATATTTGAAGCTGAGTTAAATAATCCTTAAGCCATTTCATCCAAAAGGACAGAGACATTTGTTGGACCAGTTTCCAGCGATTATAAAGTGGTAGGTTAATCATAATGCGTATTTAGTTTTTGAATAGCTTTCAACAGTGTTCCTGTTAGGAATAAACCGAGTATAATTATGTAAAAATCATCTGGATCACCTGAAATTGCTACTAATGATCTTAAGTTCAGACAAGCTTCTATTTCTCATAGATAAGTAGAAAATTTTTCAAACATTTCAACATGAGAACCAAGTTGCTCTTCTCATGTGATGTTTCTTAATCTCTGCAGCTTTGCCTTATGCACCAAAGTGGGGTGCAGAAGGTAGATTGAAATTCCACTTAATTTCTTCCTCTGTAAAAGTATCTAGTTCGTTTTTGGTCAGAATACCATTCTTTCAGCTATTTGATGTTACCTAAAAAAACATTCCCACCAGTCTTCCTTATTTAACAATGAATCTTTTTAGAGCTGCTATGAAGGAATCTAACTTAGTACTGAAATACATGAAATCACAAACATAAATCTTCCCTCCTTGAACACCACACCTTGCAAAATTTGCTCCACATTTCGAAAAAGCTTTCGTGAGATTCAGTCTAGATGTTGGAAGATTTCCCATTATTTATGACAGCTTACTTCTATGTCGACAGCATGTTACACATTTCCGAATGATCTGATGAATTAGCTGTTCATGCATTAATGTGATCCAGTATCTGTTTGATTTTTGAATGTGGCATGGGCATTCATCTGCATAGATATTTATAGTGATAATGTTATATTATCAGTTCTGTAATATAGTGGAATTAAGGCAGAATGACTGGATTTTTACTGTCTATATGATAGGATTTCTTAGTCTTCGTCCCCTTTTGA